AGTATTCTAGATTCATGTTGAAGATCACATAAGCTCCGTTTTTCATATATTAAATTAAGCCTTTTATCCTTTAAGATAGCAGGAAATCCAATTTCTCACAGGGAAACTGAGCTCAGTATGAAAGGACAGATTTTTAAAACACAGGCAGCAATATTGTCTCAATATTGCTGCCTGTCAATGGGCTGAAAAGCTGCAGGTGCAAGCTTGTGGCAAACTACCTAAGCCCTACACACACACTTTAAATCCATTCACACACACACACACACGCACACACACACACACACACTCAGTATTATGTGGTGATACCCCCCCAGCCCAGATGCCCTATTCATGGCCCCCTTTTACCATCTGTAAGATTATCTGCCAGCCTCTCAGTGCTCGAACATTATGCATTCACAGACAAACAGGGTGGTGACAGAAGTGGTGTGTGTTTTTGTGTGTGTGTGAGTGTGTGTTTCAAAAAGACACAGTTTGGATCCAAAGTATCGGCAAAATAACTGTATACGCTTCTGTTCTGACTCAAACTGCACATTTTTCACCTTTAAAAAACCTTGAATTTACCCGTAACTTCGAAATCTGGAACATTATGCATGCACAGACAAACAGGGTGGTGTGTGTGTGTGTGTGTGTGTGTTATTAATGAAGCAAGTATCTCCAACATAACTGTATAAGCTTCTGTCCTCTTCCTCCTAACGACTCAAATCGCTCATTTTCCACCTAAAAATGCCGTTAGAAACCTTGAATTCACCCGTAATCTCAGAAATCTGATGACTAATCCTAACCTAGAAGATCATGTTGTTTGTTTTAGCAGCTTGGCCAGAAAGTAGGTGTACATAACAAGGTGAACAGCGGACTCTCTGTGCATCGTGTTCTGGATGTTTGCACGGTACATACTGACCCTCAAGAGGAGCTTTCATTGAGGGGAAAATGCTCGAAACTGCACTTTTTTAAATAACTAATTAGAGCAATTAGTGAGCAACTGTGTATTTCTGTAGTGTTGTGAAAGGAATAGGTCACAAAGAGAGATGTATTAGGAGGAAAACACCAAATTAAATGATGGATTAGAACATTAGGTACAGTGCAAAAGGATTTAGTGTGTGAGAGCTATCTGAGGAATATTAGTCGGAGGAATTAGCACATTTGAGTTCCCTTCAGAAAGCCAGTGAAAGAGATCCGTGTAGGTTTGATTGGCCTGTCACAAAAAGTGAAATAAATGTCTGAAAAATAACACGTTATACCGCTGCCAGTGATGGTGACAACTTCTCCTCAAAGCATTCATAAAAATACCTTTTCTCTGGCAGGAGGGAAGAGGAAACTGAATGTGAATCACGGCTCGATCGATCTTTAGTTTTATATACAGGGCTGTTTACTAAAGGCTTTATCAGGTTAGTCTTTTAAGAGACTTTTTCTGAGATGAATGAATGGCCTTGGTTGCAGTCAGAAAGCCTCGATAACATATGCAACAGACAGTTACAGTTACAAAGGAATAAAAGGAGTCCAATGCAGTAAACCCTTAGTTTTAGTCTGAAAAAATACCCAGAAACGAACAAAAACACAGTTTCCTTCAAAGTCAATCACACTAGTTTTCCAGAACAAACCCCACTTGATCAGATTTAAATCCTGAAGCATTCTCTGAACTCAGATTTGAAATGTTTTGTCCCGAACGCAGCGTTAGTCGCTCTGACAGTGATGGATGTAGAGGCCCGGTCTCAGTGTTTTCTGACCCTCCCTCACGTTGTTCTCCGTTCAAGTTTTCTGCAGATTTGCCTTTCTGTGTTTTTCCCAGCATTCAGCCGTCCTCCAGCTCCTTACATACATTCTGTTGGGGTTCAGCAGCAGCAGATCTCTGGGTGTTTTGCTGTCAGGGCAGGTCCAGAAGCCTGACGTTAGCACCAGGATCACCAGAATCAGCAGAGTTAGGATCCCTGTGATGCAGAGTGAAGGAGCTCAGGGGAGATCTGGCTGTGAAGAAAGATCGAGATTCACTTTTTCTGATATAGAAGCTCTTAAGATCTTAGAAAAACTCAAACTGACTCTCCCTTTGTGGCATTAATGAAGTGGCTTCTTCTACTTCTTCTACTTGTTGTTGTTGTTGTTTTGCACCACTTTAACACAAATGACAGATGACTGGAAGGGCGAACTAGATAATAGGAAGTTAGTGGGGGCAGTAGTACTTGATTTTAGTTCTGCTTTTGATGTCATTGACCATTCTTTGTTGTTACTCAAGCTGGAACAATATGGTTTTAATTTTGATACGCTGAGGTGGTTAGAAAGTCACCTGACCAATCGAAGTCAAACTGTTTTTTTCAATGGAAGTCTGTCAAAGGTGAAGAAAGTCACTTGTGGAGTACCTCAGGGTAGTAGTTTGGGACCACTTTTATTTTCTATTTTACAAATGACCTACCATTAGTGTTAGAAAAAGCCAAAATTGTTAGTATGCAGATGACTCAACAAGTTTCTCCTTCTCCTTCTTCATTTTCTGTTTCTTCTAATCTTTTTATTGTTGTTTCTGTGCTTCTTCATATCCTTGTTGTTTTTGTGTCTTCTTGTTCTATCAATGAGTGAGTAAAAACATGTCCACCACTTCCAGAAGTCTCCCTCCTGCAGCTGGGTAAACATAAACAAACCCCCAACAATCTCTCAGTATTTTCTAAACATGTAATCAGGGAGCTTGTGGACCCCCTGCTGGGAAAGAAAGTAGAGCAGGTTGCATGAAAGTTTGATTACAGTGTTCGTAAAGATTCGGCCTTTTGCTTCGTGCTTTAGAGAGGACATGTCAAAGTCCCCATCAGTCCTGTGGAGCATGAAGGGGAGATGTATGAATGGGATCAACTCAGACTTAAGATTCAGATCCGACCCGTCATGTCTCTCTTCAGAGGGATTATAACAGTAACGCCTGAACACAGATGTAACGTCAGTGAGTCTTTGATGTTCCTGTTCTCAGAAGTGGAGATAAAGCCTTCCTTTGTATCTGTCTGTACTCTCAGGACCAAACTGCTTCATCCATTAAAGTATTCCCCTCATGCTGCCCACACTTCATACACACTTTAACCTCTCAGCGCCCACTGCTCTGCCTGAAGAGAGCTTTCATTGACTGTAATATGAACGTGTGTGCATTGGTATAGCATGCATTTAAAACTTTAAAGCTAGTTTTGCACCACTTTGTTATTCAAATGCTCCAAAATGTTGATTTTGTCAGAAATAAAGACAAACCCCAAAGATATTCACTTTTAATTTTAATTAATACATTAAAAAGCAGGAAATGCCCATATTTGGGAGTATGAAAACGCCATTAAGAACATTTTTTTCATTAAATATTAGTAACGTTGGATTTATTTTTCTGTCAAACAACTAAACATTGTTAATTTTTAAGAAGTTTATGTCATTAAATGTCTTGTTTTGTCACAAACTAAGACATAAACCCCGAAGATATGCACGTTAGTATGATTTAAAACCTAGGAAAGCAGCAGTTGTTCACATTTAAGAGGCTTTTGCATAATAAATAGTAGGCTATTATAGTCTGACTTAAAGCAGCACCCTTTACTACCTGTCTTTACCTTCCTCCTTTCCCCCTCTTGATATCCATCTCTCTCGCTCTTCTTCTCCTATAGTACGCACCTGTATAAGCCCTCCATATAGACCTTTTTCATTACTCACCTGAAGATTAATGCACAATCATGCAAAAAACCAGTCCTCTCCCAAGGTTACTCATGTGTGTCTGAATGAATACTCTCTCAGTGTCTGTTGTACACGGCTGCTTTATTGTATGAAAAGCCTCTCAGTTCATGAAAGCCCTGCAGATATGTTGATAAATCCATTCAGCAGAGTGCTTACTTTCATTAAATCACATGCAAATCATCACACACTAGGATGATCGATATCGGCCGATACTCACTCTCTGCCGATCGATCGGTGCTCTCTATAAATGCTCTCTCTATAAATGCCGAAAATACATGACACTTTTCTCTGTGCGCGGCAAAACAAGCTCGCCAAAATGGCTTCACCGGTCTGGCAGTCTTTGAAGGTGTCCGAAAAAGACAATAAAATAGCGGTATGCAACGTGTGTGAAGCAGGAACCCTGCAGCTCCACCCGCTGTGACGGACCGGTGAGCGGAGCAGAACACACACTAAGAGTTAGACCTAACACACTTAGCTATTTGATCTACCTCTGGAACAAGATAAACTAGTTATACATATATTTATTCTTCACTGTCGGGTCGCTCATTACTGGATCAGTGAGCTGCATGAGATACTGAGAGAGAGAGAGAGAGAGAGAGAGAGAGAGAGAGAGAGAGAGAGAGAGAGAGAGATAGAGAGAGAGAGAGAGA